TAAATTAATGTCCATACTGCAGATCTGATAACAGAGTACATGACATAATATTGCACATCTCTCTTTGCTACAGATTTTAGGCCAGAATGCTCACAATAAATTCGGTTGTCTAAAAGTTAAATCTCTCTCAGATTATGGACAGATTCTGTGATAATTGTGTTGAATGATAAATAAGTATTTCCTTTAAAATTAATCACTCCTATCTCTGTGTTTTATATATGTACTCTGATCAGAAAATTGTACTTTTCACATTGTTCTATCATTATTTGTTGACTTTTAGCACCCACTGGATATACCTACATGTATACTTGCTCATCAAAAATAGGAACTCTATGCTATTTGTCTTAGTAAACTCAGTCCACAGTTTGTATTTGGTAAGCATTTAATACTTCGTTTTAGTATAACTGATTTACTCCCCTTAAGCTTTAATAAATCCTTGAGATAAATCTTTCTTAAGTAGTATTTCTCAGAATATTCTGAGTTACCCCTTTTATCATTATTACTATTGCCAATAATAAGAATGAAAATAGCAGACATTTATTAGGCACTTATTATATATCAGACCTGCAAGGCAAATTATATGCACTTGATACTCATAATAATCCTATGAAATAGGTAACAATTTTATCTTATTTTACAGGTTAGGTGACTTAGACATAAAGAGGTTAAGTAATTTGCCCAAGGACACACAGAGTGGTAAGCCTAAGATTTGGAACAGGGCAGTCTAATTCCAAAGCCATAACCACTAACTACACTATACGGTCTCCCATCCCTTTAAAAAAAATCCACAGCCATAGGTTTACACTTTGGATGTAATCAAATATGTTCCTACTGGACCCAAACCTCCTGCAGCTAACAAATATAAGTTCTGTGCAAAATACAAAAAGGAAGGAAAGAAGGAAGGAAGGAAAGAAGGCAGGGAGGAGGGAGGGAGGGAGGGAGGGAGGGAGGGAGGGAGGGAGGAGAGAGGAACAAAAGAAGGGGGGAGGACCCTGAAGTTTCTGGGAAAGTAAACAAAAGCCTGAAAATCCTGC